AAATCAGAAGGGAACTTTTATTTTTGTAGCCAACCATACCAGTGGTCTCATAGACTGAATGTTTATAGTCTTCCGGCTCCTTCCCCCAAAGTAGTTTCATTCCCATTCTTGCAAACGTGTGCTGTTTAGTCATATACACTTCTTATCCTAGCAACTTGAAAAGTTTTAGATCTATTGTTTGAAAGTAAAGGGAAGAGATCAACAGTTAAACTCCCACAGAGACCAAGGGATTTTTTTCATGGTGACATTTAGTGTACATTAGTAGGAAAGCAAATAATAACCCTCCCTTTTCTCAAGTGTGAAACAATGTTCTGTTGCTGACCTCAGTTTGTCCTGGTACAACATCTCAAATTTCTCTCTACCTTAAAAGCTATATTGTCAACAGAGGAAAACACCATGAAATATTTTTTTTCCTTTTTCTTTTTTGGTATTGTATCAAATCTAACCTTAAGATTTCAAGTGCAAAACCGAAATGTCATTCTTTTTCCTGTCTGGCTTATATCAATAGGAATGGGCTTTGTTCCTCTGTGAGGTTTTTTATGTTCTTTTTTCAAAGGTTGATGCTTATTAATCTATAAATGTTAACAGAGATAGATGCTGTATGTAAGGAAAAAATACATTTCTTTAGCACCATCTAGTGGACAAAGCATTGCACCCTTGAAAGTTATAGAGCAACCGTTTTCAACCTCAAATGTTGGATAAGATTTACACAATTTAAATTGGAAAAAAATTGGCACAAATGTTTCGGCTGAATGCATGAGTGTTCTCGGGCTAGAAAAAAGTGTCAATCATGTGCTTAACGTTAAACAATGCAGGTAAAATCAACTGAAATTGTACTGGAAAACACTTCGTGGTTTCTTATGTTGTTTTGCCATAAATGATTGTTTACAGATCCAAATTGAGACACTTTGGAATACGTATAAAAGCTCTGTCCTCATAGATAAGATCGTTGCTTCCCAGAATTGAACACAGCAGGAAATTGTCTTTCTCATGTTATTAATTGTACTCGTTTATTTTCAAACACCTTTTTCTGAGCTTCTTTGTGAAAGCATACATATTTATTAAAATACTCATACTTTTTATTGATTATATCTTTACGTGTACATACTGGTTTATGACCCTGTAGAGTTCAGGTACCAGTATTTTAAAAGGAGAAATAAATAAATAAGAATCTGTTATAGAATATTTATCTCTCAATGGGAACGAGTAGTTCAGCACTGATTCAGCACTATTTGCCATCAGAATAGTGGATACAGGAGAGAGAAGGGAGTTAATATTGTATAGTGTTTGCAAGGATGGACTAGAGAACTCTGAGAGGCTAAGATTTGACTCTTTACTTAGCCATAGAGGCCTACTGAGTGACCTTGGGCAAATCACACTTCTTCAGGCCAAGAGAAAGGCAATGGCAAATATCCTCTCAATAGCTCTGACCAAGGATATGGTCACCATAAGTTGGAATTGACACAATGCAAATGTATTCCTAACAAAGCAGGTAACAAATCAGATGAGAAAAAAAAACCCAAATGTATCCTTAATATCCTTAACACAAAGGTGATTGAGACTTGCACATTGAGAAAGATGATTGAGTTATGCAGATCTTAAATTCTGTTTACAGCTAGTACTCTGTATCCATGGATTCTGTATCTATGGATTCAACAATACAAAGACTAATTTTAAAAATTCAAAAAGCAAACCTTGATTTTGCCATTCACATAAGACACTTCATTTTACTACACTATTGTATAGAGCAGGATTGGAGCAACCACAGATTTATTAGTGATATGTTAGAAATACAACAAGCAGACAACATCATTAATATTCAGATATATAATTGTCTGGTCGGGAAACACCTCTTGTAAAACTTACAGACAGAAAAACAGATAAGCAGTGAGATGCCAGTCTAGCTGGATTTGGTTATCACAGCGCATTCAAGAGAAGCCCAAGGCTAGTTGATTAGTCTTCCTCTTGCCAAAGAGCCACTAAGGATTTGTCTATACTGATTTTTAAAAACATACTCACCTCTTAGCTGTCTTGATCCTTTCACATCAGGTATAACCTCTTTAGCAATGAAAGTGCTTCTTTTAGACTTTTCATATGATATTCCAAAACTCAATTTTTGCTCTGCAATTTCCAGATATTTTTGGTCTTTTGCTATGTTTTGCTATATATATACAGCTAGATAGGGAGGGCAAACAGACTGCTAGGTGGCAAGTACCATTTGTTTTATGTTACTAATGCTACTTGCTTGAGTGTATGTTTTGACGACTTGGCTGTGTAATTGTGATGATGACGATGTTGTATTGTAATATGTTTTTAACGTGTAATGATAATGCATTGTGTGGTTTGTATTTTGTATATGAACACATGTTGTGAACCGGATCTAAGTCCCTCCTGGAGGTGAGAAGATCGGTATAGAAAACTTTTAAATAAATAAATAATAAATTTTATAGCATTAAAGATCCTTTAAAAAATTTTGTACTTGAAAGCAGGGAGGGAGCTCACTGAATCTTCCTTTCTCTTAGGATTCACCTCCTTTCTATCCAAGCAACTTCCCAGCAAAACTCTGCTGTAGAGTAACTTGGCCAGGACAATCTTCCCAGCAATGAAATCAATGATCAGATATATCTGTTAACTGTTGATCATGTGAATGGGAACTAGGGGTGTTCATGATTCTGTTTGCAATTTTGGATTTGGAGAAATTTGGCGATCCGGCAGCCAAATCACCAAAAACAGACCAAGCAGAGGCTGCCAAAGGTTCAACCAGAAACAAATCATGTCAGCCGGATCTTTTGGCTAATGAGGGCAATGAGACTGAACAGCACTTTATCTGAGGCAGAGGCCATGGTATGTGAGCAGCCTTGCAAATCAGGCAAAAGCAGGCACCTGGAAGCAGCAGGTCCTCCTCTTCTTTCTCCCTCAGTAGCCTTCTCCGTTGCTTCCCAAAGTCTTGTCTCCTGGTAGAGCGCCTGCTTGAGGCAAATAGACCGGAAATGGCTTCTCTAAGCCTCTCCTCCAGAAACTCACTTTCCCAGCAGCACTTTGCACAACACATTCATTGAAGGAGCCTCTGAGCTCACTCCCAGGACATAATGGGAGTTGAGGTTTTTCTATCTCTGTTTATCATATTTCTTTCTCAGCCAATCAGAGGCCTGGTTGTCTTTGTCCATTTTGTGTCCTCTTGTGGCATGCTGGTTGGGACTTCAACTCCCAGAACCACCTCTTGTGGTATGTATGTGTGTGTGTGTGTGTGTGTATTAGTAAACACTTAAAAAAAATTCCAGTAATCAGTGGATTGGTGAAACATCCTGATAGTCCTAAAAATGATGGAGAAACGAGCCTCTAAAGTTTCCCAATTGGCACCAATGGACCAAATCTTACTGGACCAAAAACGGCACCCCCTCCTGATTTCAGGAATTTTCTGGTAAACAGAATTGGGGGGAAGCCATAAATGGGACTAAAAATGGCACATTTTTGCCAAGTTGCACATACTTCTGAGCAACTTCCCCAATGGTTTTCCATTGAAAGGCAGTTTGCCTGAACTGTTTGGCCAGAGAGGCAACATTAGCAGAATGGAAAGCAATGAAAATTATTTTAAAAAAAAGGAGAACTAAAAACAAAGAAAGTACAATTTCAGTGTGGTATATTACAGATAGGTATGGTATAAATAGGGTGAATCCAAGACTGCATTGGAGCTTAATAATCAGAATTATTTTGGTGGTGTAGAGTTCTTCTTAAATTTTTTCCACTTGTGACCCATTTCTGACAGAGGAAATTTTTTTTTACCCCTTTCCACCCAAGAAATTTCTATGAAATCCAGGTATATAAGATAGGTGTACAAATCAAACACTGATAACAAATCAGCATTTACATAGTTTGCTAAACAGACTGATTTTCCTTTCCATGAAGCTTAAATAAAGCAATTTCTGCAGAGTCCGCTGTAAACACTGCACTTCGTTGCTAACAGATTTGTGTAAATGTCTAGGTGGCATTTAGAAATCTTTTACTGTTGCCAATTTTTTATGACCCTAACATTGAGATAAGGGTACCCCATCTGGGATTGGAAACCACAGTTTAAGAAACAGTGGTGTATACAATCCCTTGGTCACATCAGACTTTCTAGAGGAAAACAGAGGTTTGGTAATTATCAGAAAAAAACATTCCATTACTCTGGATTCTTATGTGTATTTAAGAATTACCTTATAAGTTTGTGAGATTCCTTCATCATTATAACTATAAAAAAGTGTTGTTTAAAAACCTGTAAATAATTGTCAACACATCTGCAATATTTTAAACGTCTTGTATAAATCTACCTTGCAATAAATAAAAATATGTTTGGGGATAATTTCACTATGTTGTTTAACTCACATATTTCATTAGAAGGTTAACTGTATTTGTTCTTACAATAATTAAATTAGAATAGTATCTGCACATGGTCAACAATTTATGTAAAATATTTAGTTATCTGGATTTGACTGGTTGAAAAAGTAAAGGTGGCCTTTCAATAAAATGAAATACTCTTTTTAAAAAGACTTGTGAATTGCTTGAATGATAACCAGGTTGTATGAAAAAATGATGTTTATTTGTTCTATGTAGATTTAATGGAACCAGCACATTTTAATTTGACTTAAGTTGAATAAAGTTGTGAATATTGAAATTCAGTAGATTTACTGCTGCTGTTCATCAGATTTTCTTATCAGAAGGTTAAAGATAAAAAGTTGGATTAAACATACATAGAGTAAACTGCATGAAACCTAGATGGCATGATATTCAAATTTTCTAAAACTCATTGTGGAAGGGCCTACCCAGTTTTAATTTCATTCATTTATAATATAGATGCAGATCTTTTTTAAGAGTTGTATAGCCCACAAATAAATGATGTTAAAATACGAGTATATGTACTCTTTGACTGGAATTTGAAAGTAACTCAGGATTAATTGTTAGCAGTGACTAAAAATGTCAAATACAATCCATTCAATATTCTTTTTCTTTCTTCTCAATAGGTCTTGGACTGTACAAAGTAAACACAATATATGGAGATACAATCATTTTGCCTTGCCATTTACAAGTTCCTAATGACCTTATGTTTGGAAAATGGAAATATGTAAGTATGATTAATTTTTAAATATATGAAGTGTTAGAATGCATGAATGCTTTTCAGATATAGTAAAAATATTCTTTGGTTGTATGTAGTTGTAATGTATTCCTTGAATACATGATGACAAAGACAGTAGACTTGTGTATTATGTGAGGTACCTGTTTTAAGACCCTTTATGTAATATAATTTTCACGTATAATCTAGAACCCTATTTTTCTTACCAGATATCTTGGGCTTCCAGCCAGATCATACCATAGAATGGTACTGGAGGACCTATAGATGCCTAGAGAAGTGTTTTTTCTTAGCCTCCAGCATGTTTCTATGGTAAACCTGTGGTACAGCTTCCAGTAGACACTGACCATAGACTTGCACTGGAGACCTAGAGGGAACAGTTCTCTAGATCTTCCAGCACAAATCTATAATATTCAAAGCTCTTCATGTATAACTGAATCTGCATTCAACAAGCTCATGAAATATGTGAGTTCATTGATTTTATAAAAAAAATGATATTTACTCAATTTTCCCCCAAAAAAGTATGCATCATTATCAAAGAGTCATAATGATCTGTCAATGATCTAATGTTGAAAGGGGCTGTGCAGTTATAAAATGAATTTCAATATAGGGAAAATGTTGCCTTGGAGTTATAAGTGTTATATGTTTCATATCTTGTTGTATTTTTATAGTCCTTGTAGCAGTCCTAAGTAGATTCATAGAATCAATTAGCGTGTTTCATTTTACATCTGAAAATGCATGGAATGTGTTTACATTGTTATGATGTATCTGTTGGCATCAAATTGCTGCCAATTGTAAGCTGCCCTGAGTCCCCTCCTCCCCCCTCGGGGGTTGAGAAGGACGGGGTACAAATGTTTGAAATAAATAAATAAAGAAATAATGGAGGTCCAGCTTAGAGCAAAATGTTTCCTAAATTGCTGCGGTTGTTCCCTTCCTTCATATATATTGAGATCTCTACAGAATAATCTGCTCTACCTGATATTGTGAAAAAGTGTTGTGGGACACCACAGAATAAGATACTTTTCTATGTGATTTTTTTCAGCTTTGAGATCCTTATGTTAATATGAACAAGTCCCAAAGTCTAAAGAACAAAAATATCAAAATTAGCTCAGTGTTGGGGTAGAAGGGGTCAGTTTGGTATTGCCAGATAACTGAAAGCATGGGGTTGGTAAACAGAAGTCAATGAATAGAACTTGCACCAAACCGTTGTTCGGTGTTCTAGCCAAAATGCTCTGTTTGTTTGTTTTTTCTATATAGGATAGAGCTGTGTATAGAACACAACCTGTAATTAGTCACCTGAATTAACTTTTTATATGAAGGGGTGTGTGATGTGGTAACAAATAGCAATTATTGCTGTTTGAGACAATTGTCAATAAGTCTAGCTTTTGCTCTTGGCATTGGAAAAGGGTGCCAGCTTGTCCATTTCGCAAGAAACAAACTGCCTCAAGGAATCCATGGAATTCAGAATTAAATGGATTTAAAGCATGAGTACTGAGACATAGGACCTCATCCCATTGAGGTCCTGAAGCTGGAGACATTCACTGAGCAGCAGTGGGGGACATTCATTGAGCAGCAGGGCAAATCTGGTGGGCAGTGTGGAAACCGGTCATCTCACACCCCACATTGCACCTTCCCTATCCTATGGGGGAAGCATCGCCACTCAGCTTCCCCCTGCACGTTCCCCATTCTACTTTATGTTTATGAGAATACGGGAAGCCTACTGTGTTCTCAGGGCTATGTTGTAGGATGCTTTCAAAACAGAACCAGGAAGTAGCCCTCCATCATGTAATGGGCTCCGTACTAGCTCTGTGCTGAAAGTGATCCACAGTGGAGCCCAGACCTTGTGTGTTGAGTTGGATAGAGCAATCATCTGTTGTGCAAAAAGGAATTTCTATTTAAAGTACCAATTGCCAAAAGTGTAGCTGTGAGCGGCATGAGGGCATTACCCCAAATGAAAAATACTGGCAACAAATGAAATTTCTGTATTAGCCCCAATTTGGTAACATAGAAGAGAGAGAGGTGTTGGAAATTATTCACACCTAGAACTCCTGTATTTGCTGTGTATCTCCTTACATGGATAACTTTGTTAGTGTAAGATGTGTTTGATGTTTGTTTATTTATTATTTATTTATTTATTTGTTTACTTCCTTTCTTAGTCAGTCAGTGACTCAAGACCTCACTTCTGATTGAGTAAAAACAGCCGTCAGTTTAGGCATGTAAAAGTGATTTCAGGAGGTTAAGAGTTAAAGCCATAGAGGGGGAAAGCACAGACAAGATTGTTTATGGAATGCAAGTTTTGGAGCTGGGTGTCATCTGTACGCAGATGTTGTCCAACTCTACTACTCCTTTCCACCTACTGCTAAGGAGACTGTTCACGTCCTGAACCAGTGCTTTGCAGCTGTGACGGTCTGGATGAGGGCGAACAAATTGATATTGCATCCAGACAAGACAGAGGCACTTCTGGTCAGTTGTAAGGCTAAGCAGGGTATAGGGTTATAGCCGGTATAGGATGTGGTTACACTACCCCTGAAGAAACAGGTTCACAGCTTGGGAGTGAACCTGGATTAATTGCTAGTCTGAAACCCCAGATTTTGCTGGTTATCAGGAAAGCTTTTTGCACAATTAAAATTTGTGCACCAGCTGTGCCCCTACCTTGTGAAGTCAAATTTGGCCATGGTAGTCCATGCTCTGGTTACATCCTGTATAGATTACTGCAACGTGCTCTATGTGGGGTTGCCTTTGAAGATTGTTCAGAAGCTCCAATTGGTTCAATGGATGGCAGTCAGACTGCTCACTGGAGTGTGGTACAGAGAGTACACAATCTCCTGTTATGCTTTCTCCAGTGGCTGCCAGTCTGCTACCAAACACAATTTAAAGTACTGGTTTTAACTTATAAAGTCCTAAACTGTTTTGGCCCAGCTTACTTGTCTGAGCATATCTCCCTTTATGAACCATCTTGGAGATTAAGATAATCCGGAGAGGCCCTGCTCTCAGTCCCACTTCCCTCACAGGTGCGACTGGTGGGGATGAGAGACAGGACCTTCTCAGTGGCAGCTCCTCAGCTATGGAACTCCTGCCCCAGCGAAATTAGATCAGCGCCATCCCTCCTGGCCTTCAAAAAAGTGAAAACCTGGCTATGGGACCAAGCCTTTGTACAGTAGCAATACAAGGAATGATCAGAATTTTGTGCAATAGATATTGATATTTAGAACGGCCCTGGACTAGGATTGTCGGAGTGTGTGATTTTAACGTTTATATTAATATGTTTTTAACTCCACGTTTAAATGTTTAAATGTTGTTGCATTTTTATGACTTAACCTTTCCACACAGCCCTATATCCTAGAACATTAAGGCAGAAAATCCCACATTATCTGAGTGTGGACTCAGATAACCCAATTCAAAGCAGATATTTTGGGATATATGGCTGTGTAGAAGGGCTGTTAATTTATACCTGTATGTTGTTATTGTTGTGAGGCATTGAATTTTGCCGTCTATATGTTGGAAACCACTTTGAGTCTCCCCTAACCGCCCCCCTCCCCCGGGGTGAGAAAGCCATCTACCAATGAAAAGAATAAACAAATAAATAAATAAATAAGTTATTCAGTTTCCAGAGGCTGGCTTTTTCTCTGTGCCGAGAATGGACAAGAAGAACTTTGTAAGAAAACTTTTGCCATGAGGATTCTAGAAATCAGATGCTTTTTATGGCTGTGCTGTAAATATTGTAAATAGAGCATAAGTGCTGGTTCTGTGTGAACTGAAGCCAGGCTGAATGTGCCTTATGTAAGCTTGTGTCCAAAAGCAGATGTTTTTGGATCTAGGGCAAAGAGAGAAGCCTGGAGGAGAGCTTCTATGACCTCTGGTATTTGGTTTGATGACCCCCTTCATCACTGTCAAACTTTTCCTGCTCTTTTCCTTCAGATGTCCAAACTATATTTCTAAATACTTGAGATACTGCAATGTTCAACATTTGGAGACTGAAGAGAAATTTTATGGAGAGTTAGAATTCTTATGAGGCGAAATGTTCCCATTTTGCTGTTCTAGCAATGCTCCCGACTACTAATAATGTGTATTTCAGCTGTTTAGTAACTCTGATTTCTTAAGTCCTAGCTAGTACAGCATTTTATTCCTACAGTAGTGAACCAGATACATAAAGGAAGTTTCTGAGAAAAAAGAAAATTCAAAAAAATAGCACAATAGCACTATTTCACACATCCTTCCTAGCAACTAGCGTTGAAAGACATCCTGCCTCTAAAACTATGGGTAATATATAGCCATCATGACTAGGAGCCATTGATAGCACTCTCCATGAGGAGCCATTGATAACACTCTCCATGAATTTGTCTCCATCCTCTTTAAAGCCATTATTGTAAACTGATGCCTGTTATAAGTAATGAACTGGATGAGGGCTAACAAATTAAGATTAAATCCATACAAGCCAGAGATGCTTCTGGTCAGACATAAGGCAGATCAAGGTATAGGGTTGCAACCAGTGTTGGATGGGGTTACACTCCCCCTGAAAACACAGGTTCACAGTTTGGGGGTATTCCTGGATTCATCATTGACTCTGAAGCCTCAGGTGTCGGTGGTGGCCAGGAGTTCCTTCGCACAATTAAAACTTGTGCGCCAACTGTGCCCATACCTTTAGACACCTGATTTTGCCATGGTAGTCCACACCCTAGTCGCATCCTGTTTGGACTTTCAACACTCTCTACATGGGGCTGCCTTTGAAGATAGTTCAGAATCTTCAACTGGTTCAGAGATAGGCAGCCAGATTACTAACTTGGGCACTGTACATGGAGAGAGCCACCCCCATGTTGTGTCAGCTCCACTGGCTGCTGATCTACTTCCAGGTTAAATACAAAGTGCTGGTTATTACCTTTAAATGTTCTTGTGTGCCGCTCCGAGCCCCAGGGGAGTGGCGGCATATAAGTTTGAACTATAAACAAATAAATAAATAAAATGATTTGTGTGTATTAATTTTGAGATTTGGGTGG